CCTTCATCAGAAAAGGCTTTTCTGATGAAGGGTCTAGGCCCGAAACGTCAGCCTCTCTGCTCCTATGATGCTGCTTGGCCTGCTGTGTTCATCCAGCCCTGCACCTTGTTGTCTAGGTTATTTATCATAAAGCTCCCCAGTGCCATAATATATAAAAAGGTATCAATCTGTGCACCAAGTAATAAATCCAATTACTCCAACTTGTGTGCTGTAATCCATGTTGAGCAGTTCAACTCAGATGGATCAACAGCACAAGCAAAGGTGCCCTTGGTTAGAGAAAGAAAAACAGAATTCCTACCAATATCTGCAATCCACTGACTTCTGTTGGAAAGTGGACATTTTGGCTGCAAAACAAACATGTGGTCACACCGAGGACAGATTTGGATTGATTGCAATGATGATAGAATAGCTTGCCAGTCACTGCCTGCCATGACAAAAGAAAGGAATAAATTGGAACTGAAGAAGAAAAGGATTATTTACAAATCTTGCCTTGCAGTATTTGTGGGTAGAAGCAGTGTTTTACAAGTATATCAAGACAAAAAAATGGGAAGCCCCCAAGTTTGTACTTCTACCAAAAGTGAGTTAATACAGTTGTGACTAGGGAAACAGCAGGAACACTCCAGAAAGGTTGGCTGGGAGGTAAACAAGACCTGTGTCACATTCCTGACCACTATTCAATGACTGATGGAAAGTCAAAGAGTGTCAAAAAAAAACCCAGCTTTAATCTTGACCATTTAGCAATGGGACTATTTATACAAGTTCTTGAGGTTTACTGCGAGGATTAAACACTTCAATAGGCTTTTATGAGGACTACTATCACCCGTGTAACGTAATCACACAGTACAGAATTTAGGAAAGGAAAGCATTGAGGTCATGGGAGGAAAAGAAATAGTAAATTGTTTTACATTGCACTTAATGCTGGAAATAACTCATTCCTAAGGCCCAGAATCAATATTTCAAATGGCAATATCATTCGTCCACATTATATGCTGATTAAATTTTATGCTGCGTTGGGATCTCACAAATAAATATAAACAAGTGTCAGTTATTATCCACTCAATCAAAAGGCCTTAATAATCAGAATGTTATATCACATTAAATGTTTAGCTTTCAGAGGAATTTGTGGTGAAATGCAAAGGCTGCGATCTTTTCAGAAGTGAAAAACACGTTTCTTTATTTTTCTTGGAGGAAAACTAGGTAAATTGATTCGACGTTCCCACTTTCTGTGCAAGCAAACTGAAAAGTGATAGCGAATCAACATCACTATTCATTAGACTATCAGGTTAACCGAATGAGCACAAAATGTCTTCTACAACTTGCAGTTTGTGGCTGCAAGTATGCTTCATATACACACAAGACAAATATTTATTTCGTCTCTGATAAAACATTATTCCAGAGATATAAACTTGGAGGGAGCTTCAATAACAAAGTACTGTACCACAAATAATCGAAAAAAACGTGATCGATCGCACGCTTCGTATAGCTGCGTATCGTTTCAATAAATATCGGAAAACAATATCGGGGGGTGAGAAAGAAAGACAGGGTACACCAATCTTTCCTGCTTAGGACTGAAGAGTATAGGAATACAAACAAAAACACGTTCCCAGCACACCTATCATATTGTGAGTGAGTGAAAGAGAGAGTGTGTAAGTGTAAATTATTTCGGGCTTCTCTCTACTGCTCTTTCAGTTTGCCACAGACCTTCCTTTCACTTACCGCTCCAGTGTGTTGTGGTGGAGGGAGGGATGGGCCCCACAATCCTCACGCGAGTCCCAGGCTGCCGTCTCCCATTCACAATCTCACTGCAGGGCCCAGCCGAGTGTTTTCAGCCCTCAATTCGCAGCACTCCGATCTTGGCCGGAAATTTCTCTTCCTCCCCTCCCCTCCCCCTTTCAACCTCCTTCGGAACAAATAAAACCGAGCATAAGAAACAAAGTCAAAGACACGTCTCAAGACTTTGGACTTTACGACCAACCGCCTCCTCTGTGTCACCACTGCGAAGAGTACAGACGATTAAAAAAGCCGAACGCTTCAATTCTGAGGAAAATAATTTCGAAACATTTAGAAAAAAAACGTTTTCAAACGGCCTTTGACTTTCCGCGGGCCTGCCTAGAACGACCCCACCGATTGGTTCACGCCTGGTCACGCGACACCCAAACCAACGGGCACTGTAACAAAGCTCCCGATTCGTTCAGCCGTCTACCGGAAGGGTTTTGTTTCACCGCAGGGAAAACTAAAGTCATACTAAAATTGAAACTAATCTGCACATAAAATGTAAGAACGTAGTTTGCGAAATAAATGTGCTAAAAGTAATGTTCTCTGAGCGTTGAACTTTGGCCTCCAGAGGACAGGTCGGTTAAATCACGTGACGGGGGTGTCTAAGCCTCGAGCTGATGTCTCGTTGATCTTGTGTTTGCAGTTTCAAGGGTTTTCCTCGAAACGTTAACTGACTTTCTCTCGGCTGCCATAGAATCTCTATAGTGTAGAACAAGTCCACACCGCCCCTCCAAAGAGCATCCCACGCAGGCTGCCCTGTTCCCCTGGCTAATTCCTCATGCCTGGACACTATGGGCAATTTTCGGATTGTGGGAGGAAATAGGAGGCACCCGGCGGAAATCCACGCAGACACGGGGCGTATGTGTAAACTCTACACAGATAGTCGGCCGAGGGTGGAATCAAACTGGGTGTCCCTGGTGTTGTGAGGCAGTAGTGCTAACCACTGAGCCACTGTGCCCCCAATTCTGTTTGATTTTTCCAGCGCTCACTGTTTTTCGTTTCAGGTCTTTCATCCGCAGTTCTCTGCTCTTGTTTGTTTCTTTTCCTCCAACTTGACTATCTTTGTTCTTAATATTTGCATATGGTTTGTAATGGATAGTTTCTGCAACTGTTTTTGCTGCGTTAAAGTGGAAGCTCTTCTGTAATTCCTGTACTGTAGAAATGAATTTAAAGTGATCTCTGCGGGAACCATTTACTTAAATCTTGATATGAACTTTTCAACTTATTAAATGCAGTAAATTCTGGAATTTAAAAATGTAGCTTACTCTCACAGCATTTGGGTTGTCCGTAAAGTTCCATAATTGGATTGCAATTTCCAAAATCTTTCAACTGGCACCTATGACTGAAGCTGCTAGTGTTAATTTGAGAGAGAAACAATAAAATATGGGTAAACTAATACATAAATACTAATGTAATAAGTATGTTGTTAATACTTAAATATTAACGTACTGACTCTTAAGGAGATTTTTTGAGTTGAATGGCATGAAAAGATAAGTACTTCAGAATAAAAGCACTTAAAATTATTGAAACTGTAGCTTGTGCTTTAGGAGTTGCTTCTCGCTTTGCTTCTATTGAACTACAGTGTCCAGAAAATTGTTACATCCTGCATCACAGGACAATCATTGGGGGTGGATAAATCAATCCTGATAGTGGAAAAGAAAATCCTTAAATAGCAAGGTGATGCAAAGCTTTCAATAGTATTTGCTCAGCAAGATTCAATTTTATGTTTTTAATTAACTCACTCATCCAGTTTATTTAAGCAGAAGAATGACACTAATATGTTACAAGAATAGCAAAACAGTCGTTATGGTGCGGAGGCAACAGAAAAATAAAATCTTGGGAAATAATATGACCAATATTTGTTTGTAACTACATGCATTTATGTAAGAATCTTCTGACAAAACAGTGATCAAACAGAAATTTGGCATTGGACCACAGGAGAAGGGAAATCAATATCAGGACAAACCCCGCCCCCCCCCCCCCCCCTGTTTGCAGATAAAATGTATCAAGACGACTCATGGTCTACAGTAGAATTTTTATTTGACATTCAGTTGACCTGTTACAAGATTCCACAGGACAATAGGCTGACAATCTTGCTCTAATTATGGCATAGAGATTAAATTTATTTGCTAAACCTTTCTTTTAAATAAAAGCAAAATATTAAGAGTACCTGAAGGAGTTGTTTCATGGCATAGCAATAGACAAATGGTTGATGTTGTAAAATATCTGTAAAAGTAAAGATTTTTCTGAACAAATCAATTCTTAAAAGAATTTATAATTTGTATAATTATAATTTATACTCCTTGTATTATTGCACTTTTTTTCTACTCATTCACAAGAACAGAGATGTCACCGGCAAAGTCAGCAAATGTTGTGTTAAGAGTCAATTTAGTTATGTGCTCAAGTTCTGTCTGAAACAGACAATTGCATTACTTGGGTCTGGAGTCGCTTCTAGGTAAAACCTTGGTAAAGGCAACAGATTTCCTTTCCTAAAGGACATTATTAACTTTTTTATTACAGATTGATTTAATTAACTGACTTTAAATTCCCCAGCTGCTGTGATGGGATTTGAGCACATATCACCAGATCATAATCCCTGGATTAGTAGTCTATTAACACAACCACTATGCTAACATTCACAATTTTTAATTTGTGATGGAATAAATAATGAGGCAAATTTTCCCAAAGGCTGCCAATTTCAATTCTGACCAGTCAAAATGGTTTACTTTTAGGACAGGTAAATTAAAATTATGTAGGATACCCTTGTTAAAGTTGATTCTACAATCGGTGTTGTAAGAGCATTGCCTAAATTTGAGATAGCTTGATGCCAAGAACTTGTCCAAAAAATGTCAATACATAAAAATAATAGAACGCAAAGGTTCTGAAAATCTCTAGTTTAACAAATGTTCACTCATCAATTGGTCTTGCAGAAACTTCCTCCCTACTCCCAAATTAACAAGGATAAGTAAGTTGTGGTGCTTGTATGGTTAGTTCTGATGAAGAATTACTAGTCTTGAAACCTTAACTTTGCTTTCTTCCCACAATTCTGCCAGACTTGCTGGGTTTCACCGCCAATTTCTGTTTTTTCCTTTGGTTTCAGATCTCAAGCCTCTGCAGTTTTTTTGCTTTATTATATACATTGAGTATATTAGTTTGTGATGAACAGTTATTTGCAGAGATGGAGGATATATATTTTTTAAAATGTTGAACAGTTTAAAAGAATTTCAAGTGTACGGTTAACTGTCTGCATTCTAACGCCCATGAAAGTGACTTCTTCACTTTATCTTTGTTACTGTCGCTTTAGAAAGCAATAAATAGCCTATCAGTAATGCAATGTACAAAGTCATTTTTCTAGTGACTGTTGATTCATTCTGCAGGATGTTTCTCTCTTTTAGCTAGCGAATATCCTACTATGAACAAGAGTACTATTCTTTGAAATTGATGAATTCTCAATGCCTTGAGTTCTGTCGCTGTACTCACATCCGTGCACCTGACAGGAATATGTAAGGCCTAATAAACAAAAAAGACTTGTATTCTATGAATGTGCAATGGTATGTCATGCCAACAACATAATTCCAGACTGGAGTGCCAACTAACTCTGGAAGCACCCGCAACTCACTTATCCTTGTTAATTTGGGACTAGGGAGGAAGTTTCTGCAAGACCAATAGATGAGTGAATGTTTGTTAAACTAGAGATTTTCAATATCTTTGCATTCTGTTATTTCTATGTATTGACTTTTTTTTTTGGACAAGTTCTTGGCATCAAGCCTTGTCAGCGATGCCCATGTTCCAAGATTTTTTCAAATGTCATTTATAATGGCAAATGACTTTCGTTCATACCTCATGGACATGAAGTATTGCCTGGGTGGAAAGGTGATGGCGGATCCAGGCAGGGACATTTGATATCGTCTGCTTCAACTTTGCCTCAGTTTGTTTGTTGCTGAATCTTTTAAAAATGCCCTCCTGGCCAGCCCCCAATTTTCATCCTTCCAAAAAGTTGACCTTATTCAAAACTTTGCTTTCCACCTAATAACTCATCATTCTATTTGACCTGTGCCCCATGCCCAATATGTGGATTCCCAGTCCAACTGCGCTTAATTTCTTATAACGTCTTTGAACAGGTTGATTACAAAATATCTAAATTTAAGGACTCATCTTTCTTTCAAAGTGAATCTATAGGCCCATCTGCCTTCTCAGGTGGATATAATCAGCAAGAACAGATGGGTCTCCCATTTAAATGGCAGCATTTTCTCAGTACAATATTAGAGTGTCAGCCTTGATTCTGATATTGAAGACCTGAAGTAGAACTTGAACTGTCACCCTTCTGACAGAGGTAGCTACTGTCTGAGTCATAGGACAGGAGTCATAATCATATAGCACAGAAACAGATCCTTCAGTCCAACCAGTCCAGGCCGACAATAATCCCAAACTAAATTAGTCCCACCTGCCTGCGCTTGGCCCATATCCCTCCAAACATTTCCTATTCATATTCATACATAAATGTTTTTTAAAATTGTAACTGTACCTGTATCTCTGAAAGTTCATTCCACATGCAAACCACTCTCTGTGTAAAGAAAAAAAGTTGCCACTCATGTCTTATTGTTTTAAATCTTTCTCCTCTCATCTTAAAAATATGCCCCCTCGTCTTCAAATCCCGCACCCGAGGGAAAAGACACCTGCTATTCACTTTATCTATATCCCTCATTATTTTGTGAACCTCTAGCAGGTCACCCCTCAACCAACTGCGCTCCAGTAAAAAATGTCCCAGCTTATCCAGCCTCTCTTTATAACTCAAACCGTCCACTCCTGGTAACCTTCTGATAAATCTCTTCTGAACCCTCTCCAGCTTAATAATATTCTGCCTATAACAGAGTGACCAGGACTGGACACAGTATTCAAAGAGGGCTCACCAATGTCCTGTACATCCTCAATATAACATCCCAACTCCTATATTCAAAGCTCTGTGTAATGAAGGACTTTTTAGGAATTCTATTACCTACAATGAGCAGTGCCCTGAGAGAGACGCTAGCTTATATTAAAATATATATAATTCAATGATGTAAAATGTCAAGCCGGATTAAAGTCCTGTTGACTTCTTTGCATTGCGGTGGTCTTAACTCCCGCCAATGTGAAACCACTGCTGTTTTGCATTGGTGTTGCTGGCTGGCCGGTATTTATTGTCCATGCTGGGTTGCCCTTGAGAAGGTGGTGGTGGGCCTTCTTCAACCGCTACTAGGAAGGGGTTTCCAGGATTTTGACCCAGTGATACCAAAGGAATGGCGATATATTTTTACAAGTCAGGGTGGAAATGGCTTGGAGGGGAACATGCAGGTAGTGGCATTCCCATGTATGTGCTGCCCTTGTCCTTCTAGATGGAAGTGGTCATAGGTTTGGAAGGTGCTGTCCAAGGATCTTTGGTGAATCTATATGGACTTCAGTAAGGCATTTGACAAGGTTCCTCACAGTAAACTGGTTAGCAAGGTTAGATCACATGGAATAGAGGGAAAACTAGCTATTTGGGTACAGAATTGGCTTGAAGGCAGGGTAGTGGTGGAGGGTTGCTTTTCAGACTGGAGGCCTGTGACCAGTGGTCCAGAAGGATCGGTGCTGGGTCCACTGCTTTTTGTCATTTATATAAATGATTTGGATGGAAACGTACGAGGTATGATTAGTAAAGTTTGCAGATAACACCAAAATTGGATGTGTAGTGGACAGAGAGGAAGGTTATTTCAGAGTACATCAGGATCTTGATAGGTGGGCTAATGGGCTGAGGAATGGCAGATGTTGTTTGATTTAGATAAATATGAGGTGCTGCATTTCGGAAAGGAAAATTGGGGCATGACTTATACACTTAATGGTAAGGTCCTGGGGAGTGTTGCTGAACAAAGAGACCTTGGAGCGCAGGTTCATAGTTCCTTGAAAGTGGAGTTGCAGGATAGTGTTTTGTATGCTTGCCTTTATTGAACAATGCATTGAGTATAGGAGTTGGGAGGTCATGCTGCAGCTGTGCAAGACATTGGTTAGACCACTTTTGGAATATTGTGTGCAGTTCTGGTCTCCCTGCTATAGGGAGGAATTTGTGAAACTTGAAAGGGTTCAGAAAAGATTTACAAGGATTTTGTCAGGGTTGGAGGGTTAGAGCGAGATGGAGAGGCTGAATCGGCTGGGCTATTTTCCCTGGAGCGTTGGAAGCTGAGGGGTGACCTTGCAGAGGTTTATAAAATCATGAAGGGCATGGATAGGGTAAATAGACAAGGTCTTTTCCCTGGGGTGGGGGAGACCAAAACTAGAGGGCACAGGTTTAAGATGAGCAGGGGAAAGATTTAAAAGGGACCTAAGGGGCAATTTTTTCACTTAGAGGGTGGTGCATGGTATGAGCTGCCAGCAGAAGTGGTGGAGGCTGGTACAATGACAACATTTAAAAACCATCTAGATGGCTATATGAATAGGAAGTGTTTAGAATGATATGATCCAAATGCTGGCGAATGGGACTAGATGTATTTAGGATGTCTGGTTGGCATGGACGAGTTGGACTGAAGGGTCTATTTCTGTGCTGTATATCTCTATGACTCAATGTATCTTGTAGATAGTACACTGCTGCAACTGAGCATCAGTGGTGCAGGGAGTGGATGCTTATGGATGTGGTGCCAATCAGTAGGGATGCTTTAACCTGGATGATGTCAAGCTTCTTGAGTATTGTTGGAACTGCACCCATTCAGGCAAATGGGTAGTATTCCATAACCCTCCTGACTTGTGCCTTGTAGATGGTGGGCAGTCTTTGGGGATTCAGGAGATGGGGTACTTACTGCAGTATTCCTAGCCTATGACCTGCTCTTACAGCCACTGTGTTTATGTGGCAAGTCCAGTTAAATATGTGGTCAATGGTAACCCCAAGGATGTTGATAATGGGAAATAATGGGACATTCAGTGATGGTAACACCATTGAATGTCGAGGGATGGTGGTTAAATTGTCTCTTGTGGGAGATTGCCTGGCATTTGTATGGTGTAAATGTTATTTGCCACTTGTCAACCCAAGCCTTGCATTTGAATATGGACTGCTTCAGTATCTGAGGAGTCACAAATGGTGCTGAATATGTGCACTTATTGGCAAACATCCCTGCTGCTGACTTTATGATGGAAGGAAGGTCATTGATGATTACTGGGACTAGGACACTACCTTGAGGAACTCCTGCATAGATGTCCTGGAGCTGAAATGACTGACTTCCAACAACCACAACCGTCTTCCTATGTGCCAGGAATGACTCCAACCAGCGGAGAGTCTGTCACCAGATATTCATTGATTCCTAGGGCTTAATTTGCTAGGGCTTCTTGTGCCACACTCGGGTGAATGCGGCCTCGATGTCAAAGACTGTCACTCTCACCTCACCTCTGGAATTCATCTCTTTTCTCCATGTTTGAACCAAGGCTGTAATGAGGTCAGGAGCTGAGTGGCCCTGATGAATCCCAACCTGTCAGCGAGCCAGTTATTGCTGAGTAGCTGCTGCTTGATAGCACTGTTGATGACGGTTTCCATCACTTTACCAATTATTGAGAGCAGGCTGACGGGATAGTACTTGGCTGGGTTGGATTTGCCATGCTTCTTACATACAGGTCATACCTGGACAATTTAATTGCCAGTTAAGGGCACCTTAATTAGTTTGTACAGTTTTAGATTATTTGTTACATTCATTAGACCCTCAATACGTGACTCATACCTATCACGTTATTCCAGCCATTTGGTTTGTCTCCAGCACCATCTGATTTTTTTTTATTTTTTGTCATTATCTCACTGCCTCAATTAATCAGATTATAGGTCATCCCTTCACTTGCTATTCAGCCTGTAGACACTCCGCTCACAGCTTTTGACCTCACTGCCTGTAAATTCTTTGTCTGTGTGATTATCTTCACTTCAACTGACAAAAAAAAACATCACTCCAAAAGCTTGTAATTCAGAATAAACCTGTTCGATTATAACCTGCGGTTGTGTGACTTCTGACCATGTCCACCCCTGTCCAATGCCACACCATGGCTATCATCCACATAAAGGATAGAGAATGAACTACCTCAAAGGGTGGTTGAGGTGGATTCAAAGCTTTCAAAAGGAAAATTGAACAGAGAGAATTTACAGAGCTACAGGGAAAAGGGAGTGTGGTGGAAATGGTTGAGTGTCATTCGTATCAAGGCCAGACTGACCGAATAACTGTCTTCTGTGCTGTAACCATGCTGTGATTCTAAAACCTGAAATACCCTTTGAAATATTAATACAGTACAAGTTGTCATAACTTGAATACGTGCCTGTAAAGGCACAAATTGCTGGGAAAACTCAGCACGTCTGGCATCATCTGCGGGGAGAAAATAGAATTAACGTATCGGGTCCAGTGACTCTTCATCGGTTCTAGCAATTTTTGTTTTTGTTTCCGATTTCCGGCATCCGCCTTTCTTTTCGTTCAGAGAATTTTTTTTTGCCTATAAAGACAAATTGGTTTGAGAAATTGTAAAGAAATTATTTTTGACTGCCCAACAGAGTGTATAGTTTTGCTTCAGCCACGCCGCCCATCAGGCCGACACATTATCACTGTCCTATTCCCCAGCCTGTCGTATCGCGCATGCGCCACAGTGTTTCTGACGCACAGCCAGGTTGTCAGGGAAGGTGACGGATAGTTGGTTCAAGATGGCCGCCTGGTTAGCCTGGCAGCTGCAGCAGCACAGTGGCTGTGCGAGAAATCTTCCATCAGTATTGTGGTCTTTTAACAAAAAGCCTTTGCAATTTCGGACTTTTGCTTTGAGCGCTGCTTTCCCGAAAGAGGCTTTGAGATGGAACTTTGCCAGTGGAATTTGTGACTTTGGAAGGACGCGATTTGATTTCAATAGGTCCTGTTGTCATCAAGACAGGGATCCTGTATTAAAGGTGAGTCAGTGTTATTTGTATTGCTTTTCGAGGAAATGTCAGATTGATATTTTGTTGAAAAGAACTTGGATTGTTATCGATAATGATATGAAATAGGTGCACGAGTTCTGTACTTTGTACGTAGTATTTGAAAGTCAGTGCTCCTTTGGCGGTTATATAACATTAAATGACAGAGTAATAGGGGATAGTACTGAAAATAATTTAGGCGAGTAGGACTAAAAAAAACGTAAACTTCAATTAGTGGAAGGTAAGTTTTAGAATAGAGAAACAACAATTTGGCTCATCATGTATGTGTTGGTGATTTAAAGTCTAACGACCCTCCCTAATTGCACCCTGTATCGTTATGGAGAGATACTAGGAAGAACTTCATGCAAATTGTTAAACGTTGGTAACAAATCCAGTAGTTCAGGTATCCAAGACAAAAAAAGGTTGAAATGCAGCTGGATTCTAAACTCTGACCGAGTCATCATGTTATAAATCCAGAATAGAATGTTAACAATGCAAAATGGCCATTTGATTCATCTGTGCTGACCCCTTAAAGATTCACTTGTGTACTGCTACTCCATTGCCTTCTCCCCATATCCTCGGAACATTTGGTCTCCTCGGATATTGAGAAACACTTATGGTACAACGGAATGCCACTCTGCCCATTTTACATCAAGAATGAACCACCTAGCTTAATCACTTCTTTTAGCACTTGGTCTGCGTCCACCAGGTAATGGAACATCTGGTGCTTACCAGATACTTTCAAAATAATTTGAGAGTTTTTGCCCCTGCCATCCATTTAGGCAGGACTTCTAGAATCCTATCATTCTCTAGGTGAAAATAATCTTCCTCTTCTCCCTTCTGATCCTTCTACCAATCACTTGATAGTAATGCATTCTAGTCACCGACTCTTCTGCTAATGTAAATAGATCCTGCCCATCCATTCTAAGCAGGCACTCTCAATTTTGTACTCCTCAAGAAAATGCGTCCTGAGCTGCCTCTGTTTGAAAGGAAGCACCATGGTCTCCCAATCTCTCGTCAAAGCTTCAGTTTTACACTCCTGGTTACATTCTTGTAAACCTGCTATGTACCACCTTTAGTCCAATTACTGTAATGGGGTGATCAGAACTGCAGTTAGTACATAAGTTGTGGACTAGCTAATGTCTTACATAGCTCCAGCACAATTCACCTAATCTTGTGCTAACAAAGGAAAACATTAATCTGTCTTCTTGCTATCTAATCCACCTGTTTCACTACATTCAGTGACCCGCAGATATGCACTTCGCCTACACCTCTCTATCCTCCCATTTATTATGTATTTTTAAAAATTCTTTCACAGGATGTGTGCATCATTGGCTAGGCCTGTATTTATTGCATGTCTCTAATTACCCAGAGGGTTAACCATATTGCTGTAGGTCTGGAGTCATATGTAGGCCAGATCAGGACAGCAATTTCTTTCCCTTAAATATATGTGAGCTAAATATTTTCCCCCAACAATGGTTCCATAGGCATCATTACACTTGCAGATTTTTAAAATTGAATTAAAATTGCACCATCTGTCATAGCTGGATTCAAACCCTATCCCCAGAACATTACCTTAGTCTCTGGATTAATAGTTTAGTGCGAATACCGTTAGTCCATTGCCTCCCCAGTTCCTCTGCCTTGTTTGACCTCCCCAAATACATTGGCTCATACTTGTCCAGGATGAATTCCATTTTTCACTTTTCTGCTTATTTGACCAGTGCATCGATTCCCTTGTGCATTCTACAGTTTCACTCCTCCCTATCAACCATGGAGTCATACAGCACAGAAACAGATCCTTCGGCCCAACCAGTCCGTGCTGAACATGATCCCAAACTAAATTAGTCCCAACTGGCTGCTCCTGGCCCATATCCTTCCAAACCTTTCCTCTTCATGGATCTATCCAAATGTCTTTTAAACATTGTTATTGTACCCGCATTCATCACTTCCTCAGGAAGTTTATTCCACCCTCTGTGTAAAAAAAAAAAAAAAAAAAATTGCCTCATGTCTTTTTTAAATCTCTCCCCTCTCACCTTAAAAAATGTGTCCCCTAGTCTTGAAATCCCCTATCCTAGGGAAAAAGCAACCACCATTTACTCTATCTATACCTCATTATATTATTAACTTCTATCAGGTCACCTCCCTACCTCCTATGCTCCAGTGAAAAACATCCTAGCCAATCCAGCAACATCCTAGTAAATCTTCTGTGATTCCTGTCCAGTTTGAGAGTATCCTACCTCTGACTGGGTGATTAGAACTGGACTCAGTATTTTAGAAGAGGCCTCACCAATGTCCTGTAGAACCTCAATATGACTTCCTAACTCTGCTCAGTCCTCTGAGCATCAATGAAGGCAAGCGTGCCAAACGCTTTTTAACTACCCTGCCTATATGTGGTGCATATTTTAAAGTAGATCTGTTTGTTCCCTGCATGCAATTTGCATTCTAATATGTGGCCAATTTCTGCATTGTCTGCAAATGTCTTGATCGTGGCCCCTAACTTTAAGCTGAAGTCATTCATACGGACAACAAAATGCAGGTCACCAGGTATTGATACCCACTGGAAACAGGTTTCCAGTTTGAAAAATACCCTGAGTTATTACACTTGTATCCTGCCACTGTGTTAATTTTGTATTAGGCTTGCTACATTCCTGTGGTTCCCATGGGTTTTTTAAACCAGTCAGCTATGTGAGTTCTTATAAAAAGCCTTGCCAAAAAACATGTAGATCAGGTTAACTGCGTTATGCTTCTCAATCTTCCTTATCACCTGGTCAAAAGATTCAGTTAAAACCAGAAGTTGTAGGAGCACAAGTAGACCATTTGCCCCGGCGAGTATTGTCCACCATTCCCTGACATCATGGCTAACATCATAGAATCAGAAGGCCAGTACAGAAACAAGCCATTCGGCCCAACTCGCCCACGTCCACCATGTTTCCCAAACTGTACAGGTCTCATTTACCTGCGTTTTGCCTAAAACCGTCTAAACCTTTCCTATCCACGTATCTGTCCAGATGTCCTTTTAATCAATTTCAACTCCACTTTCAGCCTTTACCCCATAACCCTTGATTCCCTTACTGAATAAAAATCTGCCTATCACAGTCTTGATTTTTGTTATGACCCAATTGTGACAGTTCTCTGTGGTAAAGAATTTCTTGATTCATGATGCTCTGAAAGAAGAAATTCATCCTCATTTCTGTCTTAAATTGGTGACTCCTTACTCTAAGATTATACCCTCCGGTGTTAGACTCTCCCAGAAAGGAAACTTCTCCACATCTATCCTGTCGAGCCCTCTAAGAATAGTCTATGTTTCAATAAGATCACTTCCCTTTCTAAACCTCAATGAGTACAAGCCAAACTATTTAGCCTCTCCTTATGAGAAAATCCCTCCATAGCTAGGATCAACCTAACACACATGCCCTGGACTGCTCCCAATGCCATTATATCTTTCCTCATATGAGAATAAAACTGTTCACAGAATTCTGGGTGTAGTTTGACTAGAGATTTGGATAGTTTTTGTAACACTTCTGTATTTTGGGACTCCATTCCCTTTGAAATAAAGGCCAATATTCCATTTGTAATAGATATAACACAGTGTAGAGCTGGTGGAACACAGCATGTCAGGCAGCATCAGAGGAGCAGGAAAGCTGACGTTTCAGGTCAGGACACTTCTTCAGAAATGGGGTAGGGGGAAGAGAGCTCTGAAATAAATAGAGAGAGGGGGAGTGGGGCTGGGGGAGGTAGGTGGGATAATGACAGGTGAGTGCATGTAGGCAGTGGTGGGGATTGGTCAGTGAGGTGGGAGGAGCAGATAGATGGGAGAGAAGACGGACAGGTTGTGTCAGGTTAAGGACGCAGGGATGAGAGGGAGGGTTGGTCATGGGATGAGGCCGGGTTTGGGGAGATTTTGAAACTAGTGAAGTCCACGTTCTCCAGCATCTGCAGTTCCTACTATCTCTGATCCACGTTGAGACCATTGGGTTGTCAGCTCCCAAGGCGAAATATGAGGCGCTGCTCCTCCAGTTTCCAGATGGCGTCATTGTGACACTGGAGGAGGCCCAGGATGGACATGTCGTCCAGGGAGTGAGATGGGGAGTTGAAGTGGTTCGCGACTGGAAGGTGTTGTTTGTCACGAACAGCGCGCAGATGCTCTACAAATGGGTCTCCAAGCCTCCGCTTGGTCTCCCCAATGTCGAGGAGGCCACATCAGGAGCAGCACGTGTGCACGTGAATATCTGTCTGATGTGGAAGGTGTTTTTGGTTCATTGGATGGAGGCATAGGGGCAGGTGTAGCACTTACTGCGGTTGCAGGGGAAGGTGCCAGGGGTGGTTGGGCTTGTGGGGAGTATGGAGCGGACGGGGGAGTCACAGAGAGAGCGGTCCCAACGGAAGGCAAATAAGGGTGGGGAGGGAAATATATCCTTGGTTGTGGGGTCAAATTGCAGGTGGCGGAAGTGGCGGAGAATGATACTTTGAATCCGGAGGTTAGTGGGGTGATACGTGAGGACAAGGGGGATTCTGTCGGCTCCTTATTACTCATTGAATCTGGATGCTAGATTTTTTGTGATTCATGTACAAGAACTTCTGAATACATATCACAGCCTTCTGAAGTCATTTACTATGTAAATAACATTTAGCTATTCTATTTGTGTAGCCAAAGTGCATAGCCTCACATTTTGCGGCATTATATTCCATCTGCCAAGTCTTTGTCCGATCACCTAACCTGTCTGTATCCTTCTGTAGACTCTGTTGTCCTCACTGTGTGTCTTCCCATCTACTTTTGTGTCACCCCCAAACTTGGAGATCATACATTCACTTCCATCATCCAAGTCATCAATATATGCTGAAAATAATTAAGCCACAGGATTGATCCCTGTAGCACTCCACAAGTTACGGGTTGCTATCCTGAAAATAACCCTATTATCCCGCACTCTACTTTCTGTGAGATAGCATGGGCAGCGAGTTGGCTAATGTTCTAGCCCTAATACCATGCACTGTTA